TAATTCACGAGTTTAACCTTTAGTTTCTGCTTGAGATATCTGTAATGCAGCTGCAGTCTTCTCAACAGCATTGCTATGTAGGTTTGCAAAGGGCTGAGCAGCATGAAGCTTGGTGCAGAAGCTGATTGGTGACCTCTTCTGAGCCTTGCTGTGGTGGGAGATGCTGCAAGTGGCAGTCCCACTTTGAAAGGCTTTGAAACCACATTCTGGGAATTTGGAGAGCTTCTTGGAAGCTCCTAGTCCTACCAGGCTGGAGCTCAATGTGGCTCAGTGTAGGGATGTGTGAGGAAGCTGTTTTGGGGTGTGGGAATCCATCAAATTCCACAGGCTTGACCCCTTGGACCCCAGATTACTTTCTTGGGGCTGAGAGTCTGAGTTCCTAGGAAGTGCACCAAGTGCTTGCATGGTGCTCACCAGGAATTGAGTCCCGTGTGACTGCAGTGTAAGCAGCATCTCTCTTCTGCACACGAGATTTGCAGCCTTTGTTTGTGCTGCACGTGACATGGAAAAGGTTGCCAGTTCGCAACTGGGGTTATATGAACGTTTGTGGACTTGGTTCACCTTCATGCCAGGACAGGAGGAAGAACAAGAGGAAACCTATGGACTGAAGACAGCCAGATACCAAGTAAGATCATTGCAACCCTAGTTCAGTGCCTGGCTCATTTGGTACCACAGCCTGGGTGGGGATAAGAAACACTTCTGCAGCGATCCAGAACTTCTGCTTGGTGCAGTTTCTCTTAAGTGCATGGATAGGTAAGAGAGCAAGAATTGTGGGAGTTCAAATTCCACACCATGCCCAAGGACCAATATCAAAAGCAGGTCATTTTGCTGCCTGAGTTGGTGCAGCAAATGTTGTCACCCTCCCATTCCAGGTGCATCACGCCCAAAGCTAGGCTACTTATTCTGCCACACGAGGGAGAACATCCCTCAATTACCTCTCTCTGTTCCCGACAGAAAAATCATGACGACAGATCATGACGACAACAAACAGTGTTGTCAAGCTGCCCCTACTCAGCACTTTCCCTGTTCCTCTGAAATTTTTGGCTACTGGGGACTTACCTCTGTCACAGCCTCAAAAGGTTTTGAAAACAGCCAGGCTATTGTGAGATTTTGCCCAAGGCAACTTCCCACATACCATCATTGCTTGGACTGCCAGCTAATTCTTGACAGGGGTGATGGGACAGCCCTGTCCATTGAAACATAGAAACTGAGTGAATCAGAAGGGGTCTCCTGGGCCATCTAGTCTGACCCCCGTCTCCAGCAGACAATGTGCAGGGGAGGCAACATGGCACACTCCAGTCACATTCTCCAGCCTCGCTCTCTACAGATTTCACTCTCCAGCATCTGCCCTTGAAGTGTCCATTTCATTCTGCCCTGGCAAGGCCTTTCAATTTCAGAGGGCATTTGGTGGCGTTAAATAGTTTTCAGAAGTGTAATGGATGCATCAGAGGCAAAAAGGTATTAATCTGGTTTTATGAACATCTGGCTTTAGGATGTCCTCATTTTTATTCATTTTATTGGTGACTACACGTGGAGAAACTATTTGGATAAAAATATAAGATCATCCCTATTGTAAACTGGATAAAGTGTATACTGATACAATCAAAGTAATGCATCCATTCTCTTACTTTCAAACATCTTTCAGCCCAAAGGTCAAAGGTCAAATTCAATTTTGGAGAAACTTGGGTGCAGAGGCACATTCCAAGACAAAAGGCAAAAATCATTGGGCCAAAATACCAAAAAATACCAGCATATTTTAGCTTAAAGCCCTGATGGCTAGTAACTAAACCTTGGCAGACACATCACAACCCTCTACCATGGTGAAGGAATTAAAAAAACCCTGCACCAAAGCTTGGAAATGACAGGCAGAGTGGACCCCAGGCAGACTCGATTGGCCTACAGGCCTCCATCGACCTAAAATCATCAGCCTGCATTCTTGGCAGTCACTTTCCTATGCAACAGAAATAATCGGTAAGGCCTTCAAGCCTTGATAGGTGTACTGTGGACTGTCTAAGCATCTACCAACACTTGAGAAAATAGCTTTGTAGACAGCAAGGGAATTTGCCACTTCCAGGATTTCAGCTTTGTCACAGCCTTCAGATTTAATATATTGTTTAATAGAGTGCTCAGTTTTCTTTTCTGTTATTTGAAGATGGGGTTTCCCAGCAAATGCTTGCAGGCTTTTCCAAATTTCTCCAGATAAAACCAAACACTCCTGAAACTAATGTTGCATCTGTTTCCTTAATGAGACCAAATCATTGGAGTGGGAGTAACCCATTGGTGAAGGAATAAATACAGGCTGAGTTGAGGAACAGAATGTAGTACTTAAGCCTATCTCTGAATACTTCTGCATTTAATACTGTCATATGGAGCCTCTCATGCCATAATTTGGCACCTTGCACTGTAACAATAATCCATTTTAGCTGTCTTTCAAGGTTTTACAAGCTAGCTTCATTGAGTAAGGTGGCTGGCATTTAGGGGAAAAAATCCAGTTTTCTTTGCCAGAAAGATTTCTTCAGATTTTTAAGCTCTAGTGTTCATCTAATTTGCACTGTTTCCAATAAAGTACTGGGCATAAATTTTGGATATGGATCATTTACAGTGAAATTGTTCCATTTGCCACAGTTTTTCTTTCTTCATTTTCCCCTAGACTCAGATGGCTTATAAGCTGAGAATGAGCTCACACAGAGCCACTGTTAGGAATAATATCTCCAGGAGGACTTGTGTGGGCAGAGTAAATTATCTTTTCTGTTTTTGTTTTTACTCCAGAGTAAAAAAGCTCCTCTGATAACTGAGGTGTTTTTGGTTTGTTTGTTGATTTGCTAAAAGACTTAATATAGGGTGCAATCTTACGCAGGTTCAGACAGGAAAATGACTTACGCTGGCTGGGACGTATTTGCAGCTGTGGGCCATTTTTCGGTCTCATCTGGCATTGGAGTGCACTCTTACGTGACCATTTCTAGCTGCTACTGTATATTCACCAGAGCTGTTGTGTTCATAGAAGCTTGGCAAACCTGGGTGATACAATTTGGGGGATTTGTGTGTGTGTGATTTCCATTTTGGGGTGGATAGAGGTTTGGCAAGGATACAAGTGTTTCCTGCTGGAATACTTCTCATGCTGACAAGAAGGGCAAAACATTTTGGATGAAAATAAAACATCTGAACTTTCCCCATGCATACAGCTAAGCAACAGGCAAACAACAAAGAGAAAACACTTCATCAAAGAGGAGCAACAAGAATGGCTAGGATGCATATTTGAAGACAAAAGAGACTCAGGCAAAGCGCTGATCCATTGCAGCACATCTTCAATATGCTTATCCTCATAAGAACAAAAGGAGCTTGTGGCACCTTAAGGGCCAACACATTTATGATACCATGAGCCTTCGTGGACTTCAGTCACAATGCACAGGGTGGGTGCTGTCCTTCTGCAAGTCTTGTATAGCTGCACTTACGGAATTTAGCTTCACTGTGTGTTCAAATCCCAGACTACTGGGAAGAAGCCAGTTGGCCTAGGGTGCCATTCTACACAAGACCCAAGACAAGACAAAACAAAGCAAAACACTACGCTGGGGGGGGGGGGGCATGCTGGGAGTTGTGGGCTTGTTTTTCAGTCTACATTTCTATAGGATTGTGCCCTTAGTTTCTCAGCTGTGACGTTACTATCCGAATCCCGTTTGTTGTGGTGGCAGATAGGGACTGGCCTAAGGGATCCAGCGCCAGCATAAAAAGAACGGTGAGCCTTGCCCTGGCCTTGGAGCACAATTCCTTCTTGGTGCTAGATCAGGAGTGTAGGGTGAAGCATAAGGCATGCCCCACACTGAGTCAGGCCCTTGGTCCATCTAGCCCGGTATGCCAACCCTTTCCGGCTGCTCCTCTCCAGGGCTTCAGGCAGCCCTGCCTGGGGATGATGGGGATTCATCTGGGGCTCTTTTGCACATCCTCTGTCGCTGAGCTGTAGCCCCACATGCAGCCAATGTGTCGCTGTGAGGGGATTGTAGCTGGTGACAAAGGGCACAAAGGGCCTTTAAGCCTATATAGGAGTGAGAAGAAGAAAAGAAGACAGAACTTCTTAAGAAAAAGTCAGATTGGAAGGGCTGGCAGGCCAGTGCAATTGAACTACTTGGTGGGAACTCAGGGGAGGGAATTATAGCAAAAGTCACTTATTTAGTCACAGAGGTGAAAGCAAACATCTGGTTGCTAACTTCTCCATTAAAGCCCATAATAATTTCTTATCCTTTGTAAGATGTGTGAGTATAGTTAGGAAATCTTGTGTTGCTCCATATCATAAACAGTGACTCTGCTTTGACCAATCAAGGAAATGCACCAAACAGACTGCAGCCTTTAAAAACGGGGATTCCACTGCAAACAGTCACTATGTAATCATTTTAGTTATCAATCTGTAAAATTGGTTTCCAATGGCATCTTTTCTAAGAGCAAGGATGCATCCCACTCATTTAATGCACATGGTATAGAGGGGAGATTATAGTAGTGCACATTACCAAATGAGATCAGTGGCCTACATTACACGAAATGTATAGCTGATCCTCTTTGTGTGCATCACTAGTGAATTGCCTGGAATGAAAGCTTTCATTTTAAAAGTGCCCCAGTGTTCACACTTGCTTGATGAAATTTAGGCATCTCAGGTTTGTTTCATGGATTTTGGTGGTGAAATGTTTCATAGATCCCGTGTCAAATCTGCCACTCGATCCCAAGAGAGTGCTATAAAATCTAGCACTGGAAAAACAAGTCTCTTAAATGAATGAACACACTGAGAAAGTGGAGCTTTATCAGAGAAGAATTGTGTCCATATATGTCTCATTAATTTTCTGGGTTTTTTTAACGAAATGCTACAAAATCATACAATATTAAAATATACTAGGGATTAGATATTTTAAAATATGCATTAATTAAGAAAAGGTGTCTGATGGACTGAGACCCTATACTGGCTGCTGTATTTATCCTTGTGTGATCTGATCTTCTTGGCCTTTGTTGTTTTATTTTACAAACTTGCATATACCATTCAGAAAAAGAAAGAGAGAAAGCAAGCAAGAAGCAAGCAATTGAGTTAGATGTGATGGCTAAGATCCATAATAGCTGACTCACTGACTTGAATTATTGCTGTATTGAAAGATTTCCATAGCCTCTTTGTCAAAAATGTACACTTACTGCTCCTTCAGCTTGGCAGTTGACCTTTCAATGTGCTGGCGGACTGCCACGAAGGCATCATCATCGGCAGGGTGGACATGGCAATATGCTATTCAGTAACCCACCTCTGGTATCTCAGGTAGCAACCCAAATCGACACTAGTTTTGTATTGGGTGAATGTACATTTCAATGTACTTTTTATGCAAAAGCCAATCAACATACCATTATATTTCCCCCCTTCACACACTGCTTTGGATGCTCCTGGTTTTAATTTGAAAACAGACATCCAAACCCCAATGTTATAATCAATATGATTTTCATCTCTTGGCAATATCTTAGGGTTTTTTTTTCTTTAAAAAAAGCAAAACAAACCAACTAGTCAGACTGTTGTAATTTGGTCAACCACTCGGGTACTATCCATATCCACCATTTCAACGCATTCTATTTCCTCCCGGTTCTCAGGAGTTTTCTTCTCTTTCCTCTTTTTCTTGGATGGTGGCAGAAAAGTCAGTATCACAGGTAAAATGGCAAAGCAATGAAAGAAGGTGACTAATGCTATCAAAAACAAGCACCTGAACAGTGTACGGGTCAGATTTGAAGGCACAGCTGCGAGAGGAATCAGACCAACAATGTAGCAGAGGTAGCTCTGTAAAATAGCTACCCCGTGCACTTCCAGGGCATTTTTTACCCATTTAGTCCTTGTGAAATCTTTGCCCAGGACAAATGTTGACAAGAGGGGCGCACAGTTGTCAACTGTATAATTAATCCCATAAATTAAGCACAACACAGAAATACAGTCCAGCTCTACTTTCCACAAGGTCATAAAACCTATGACTCCAAATTCGACAGAGGCAACGGTGAGCGTGAGCCAAACATTGATGAGAGAGTCTGCCACCAGAAATGCCGAGAAGAAGAGCAAGAATAAAGCACTAATGCAGGAGTTCTGCAAAGGCGCTCCCACGTATGAGGCATAACGATCCATGTATACGAATGATGGGTTGAAAACAATGAATTTCACCTTTGACTTGAGAGAGAGCTTCCTTAAGGTTTCCAGGAGATGATAAAGCTCTTCTCTCTTGGTTTCCATTGTCTTAGCCACCAAGAACATTCGGGAGGCCACAACGTCAACTTCATTGTTGTACTTCTTGGAGAAAATTATATCCTCTGAAAAATGGGCAAACTGGGGGGCTTTCAAGAAGGAGTTCCTCAGCATATCTGTAAAATTCTTTTTGGGTAATCCAGTTGATATGTTGAGTTTTCGAAGGTAATTTAAGTAGCTCTCAAACCAAGATATCCTCACAAACCCCTTGGTGTACTCTAACATGTCATCTTGAACGGTCATGTTCCAGTACTCTATCGATTCATAGATATAAAACCCAATGACAGGGCTGTAATTACTAAAGTACTTCTGCTGAGCAGCTGTATACTCCATGGTTCGGGTCGCAGTTGCTACAATGTTACTAAGGTCTGACTCTTCGTTGACCTGCAGGTAGCCCATTAAGGCAAAGGAAATATAAATAAGGTAAAAGAGAACTACAAAAGGCTTGACATAAGTGTTGGTTATCCAGTCACAGTAGTAACGCTTGAGGAAGCACACCAAAAGGTGGCTTTCGTAACTGTTTGTCTCCTCTGACTCTGTTGTGTCCTCGCTGAATTTGGCTGTCAGAAGAAACCTATACCAGGCAGGCTTCTCTTGCAGTGCCTCTGGCTTTGGTACCTTTCTGCAGAAGATACTATGCTGGTAGTTGTTTTCTATGTAGCCAGTAAACACGAGGCTGGAACCATAAAAGGAGAGTACATAGAGGTAGTTGAAGAAAATTGCAATACAGGAATTACAGCAGAAGATCCTGGCTGCTTCAATGTTAGTGAAGGGGCTGGCACCTATCCCAAAAGTGACCAGATACATGGCAGTGGTGAGAGAAAAGGAGAGCATGGAGTCTGCAAACACAGCTGCAGTTCTCTCTTTCACGTGCTGGTCTTCTCTTGTTTTCCTCCAGGAGGACAGCATCTCAAAAGTTCCATATAAGCCATGACCTGGAATAAAGAGGAAAGCAATGGCCAGTGTCAGATAGGAAGGGCAAATGAGGATGGCTGAACACACATCCATTCCTTGGTGTTACGTTAAGGAGCAATTGTTCCGCTGCAGGGAGCCCCCACCCCCAATTCCGAGTTCTTTTCAGGGATAAAAATACCAAAAACGGTGCTGGTAGAGAGCTGTGCCAGGAAGAAAGGCCAAGTTCATTGCCAAGATTTATGCTAACAAGTGCAGTTATCGAGATTAAAACTGCATTATGTATTTTTCATGCCAAGTTTTCACCTTGTGAAGATTTAAGAGGTACCAGTGTTAAGAGAACTTTAACTATATGTTGTGGATAGTGAAGTAAAACAATGAACTTACCTAGGAAGACTATTTTTTATATAAAATACAATAGAGGTTAACAAGCAGAGATAATCATTTCCCCCTTTTTCTTTCTTTTCCAGAAGCTAAGAAACTCAAATATTGTTGTCAGACTAAGTTACGCAATCAATACAATCAAAACATGTTTAATTAAAAAAGTAATATTTTCAGGGAAAGCTTTCTGCATGCAGTCAGAATTCATATACAGCTCTTTTTACAGTGCTGCAATGAATGGATAATCATGGCATATAGAAATCTAAGAATTTGTGAGTGACTGTGAGATTTCAAAGCAAGTTCCTAGTCCTTATAATTGCATAAATGCTTGAAAATATATTAGTTATAGGATCAAAGAATATTAGTTCAAAGAATATTCTATTTGTTAAATTTGTTTGGTTGGCCATGAGGAGTAGATACTAGTTTTAAAAACCACATACAAAGCCAAATAAGATACTCAGAATTCTGCACTCAGTAACTACTAAGGTACAAACAAGACGGGTACAATATTGGTTTAAATAACATCAAAGGGATCTTAGATTCTTGATTTTGCAATAAAATTCTGCACCCTGTCAGTAGCTAACATGATAGACAGGAACATGCTTAAGTGTAGTCGTTACATTTTTGCCAATGATAAGGCTCTGTAGGATGGACATGTTCACCAGTAATGTGACTGAGGATCAAATTTCATATTACATTAACACATTTGTTCTGCCTGCCTGCCTTTCTTTCTTTTTAAACAAATACCAAATGAGTGCATGTGTGTGAAATCAAGTTTGCGACCACAGTTTGCAGGTGGTTTCCAGCCATGTGTTTTCCCAGTAAAAATTAACTCCTCACTTCCAAGCTGCTGTTTGTTTCAGGAGAGAAGCTATTGATGCCCATCAGAACATCCTGGATGTAGCAGCTTGAGGAGATTTATGTTGGGATCCCAGTACAGTTGGCAAAGGATGCGACCCCAAGGAAGATTTGGATCTGAACCTCAACATGCTGAATAACTCCTCTGGATCCACAGTATCCTGTATCAATAAAAGCCTATTTTACTACAAATTATTCTAATTGTTAAAGAAGTGTGTGTGGGCAGGTGCCAAAAAGGTGCCCATTTGCACTATGCTGCTGGCTCCGTTATCTCTGCAGCAGTGAACAAGAGCATTTTCTTTTGTTAACATTTTGAAAGCAAGCCATATCATAGAGGTCCAGTCAGTATGTACTGCAAGCTTGCTCTCTGTCCAGTCATTCCCACCCTCACTTTGCCAGGTTTCTATAGCGAAACAGATTAACCACAGCCCATGCATTCATGTTGCTTTGTTATAATTCATATGTGACACCTACAGCCATGCAGCAGTGATGCTTACATAATGGTCCCACTCCGATGTCGTTTAGTTCAGGTGCAGTATAGCACAATACAGAGAATATACAATGGGGATGTATGAATGGAATGCCCCAAATAATAGGATGAGCGTTCTGTGCTAAATTCTGTTGATATCCTGTTAATATTAGAAATCAGAACAACTGAATAATGTTTCATATGTCTCTGTCTATTACTTTAAGCATTAAAAAATCTTGGTTATCTTTATAAACCACTGAGATGTAGTAGTTAGAGGGTTGGACTGGAACTGAGAAGATCATGGTTCTAATCCCCATTTGGCCATGAAGTTCAGTGACTCTCAGCCTAGCCTACTTCACAGGGTTAATGTGAACCTAAAATGGAGATGAGGAGGACTGTATAAACTGCCTTGGGTTCTGTGCAAGAGGAAAAAAGGCAGGATATAAATGTGATAGCTCACCATCCTCATCACAGGGCTCAGATTCCTAGAGAGCCTTTCTCAGAAATTTTGCAACTTCTTAGTTCACTTTGCCCCTTTCAACATCTAAACATGATCTTTATAGTTTTCACTTTGATTTCGAAACCTGAGATATTCCTAAATGGATGGCGTTTGGCCTATAACAATGTAATTATGTTGTTAGAGATGTTGTCTGAGATCTTGTGAGATTTTTTAATTTAGTCATGTTGTTACATCTTCTTTGACAGCTACTGCAAAAGCTTTCAGTGACAAATGTGAACAATAAACTGAAAAGACATCTTTGTTTCATATTTTATTGCAATTAAAAGCAACCCCCAAACCTATTATTGATCAAAATTTTAGTGACTTATAAATCATACCTATCCATAAATTAAAAATTGACTCTTAACTGTTAGATTTCAGCAGCTCTTGTAACCTCTTCCAATAAATCAACTCTGTCAAATGCTTTTTCAGCATCAATGTAATATGAGAATTGATTATGTCTGTCTGTCCATTCATCTATCCCCAGTATAAAGTTACTGCTTTTCAAGACAAAGCCCTCCCAAAGGAGTACTAATAAAAATTATAAAATGTAAAGATAAGAAGGGCTGTAATTGTAATTATAAAACTAAGAACAGCTATTTAAAACAATTTCAAACTCTTATATGCACATTTATTTCAAGCAACGTATTTCAGGCCCAATTAAAGGCCTGAAATTAAATGCTAATAACTTACAGGGCCATAGGCATATTCCTTTTCAGAGAGTTTCAAAAACTTCTGGTCACCACCAAAAAGGCTCTGCTTTTTCTGCCTACCAATTTACCACAACAATTTCTAGTGGACCTTCAAGCAAGGCCTCAGAGATGGATCCTAGGGCCTTGCCAGGTTTGCATGGTTGTGAGTAGTCATTCAATTAATTTGGTTCCAAAACCATTTGCAACTTTAAAGGTCCAAACCACCACTTTATATTGGGCAGGAAAACTGGGCAGTACAAAATGCTCACTATAGGTGCTATATGTTCTGAACACCTGGCCCTAACAAGCATGCTTGACTGCATTCTATACCAGTTGAAGTTCCCAAACTGGTTTCAAATGCAGCCCCACATACCCTATGTTTGAACCATCTAATCTGGATCTAACCAGGGAATGTGCAATTGAAGGAGTTCATCTTTCTTTAGCTAGGGTCACAACTAGTAAATCCGTCTATGCTGCTCTCCTAGTCACAGGGCAACTGCACCCCCTCTAGAAAGTACTACATCTAGAAGGATCTTGAAACTACAGGCTTGTTCTTTAAAGGGAAGAGCCACTCCATCCAAATATTTTCAAATATTTCCATCCAGATCAGCAGATGTCCCAACTCCACAGTACCTGACTTATGCATCAATATCTAGACCCTCCAAACTGGGTTTAGATATTGATTCAGGATTTCCATAGCCTTCTGGGGAATAGTAGATGGAATAGATAGATGACACTTTAGTCTTGGCCACTATTCATTCTGTGGACCTGATAGGAATTGTGCTCCAACAACATCTAGAAGGTTATGGATTTTTCTCACCAGCTTTGTGTCAAATTTCTGGATCCCCGCCCTCCCAACAATTTCAAGTAGCTATTAAAGAGTACTAGGGACAAGATGTAACTGCAAGGCATCTCAAAGGTCAAAAGTTAAAACGAGGCCTCCCAGTACTACCAGGGACCAATGCGCTTCCAAATCCCATCCAACAAGATGGCTGAGAAATAGATAAGTCTCACTGAGTTCAATGTGATGTACTCTTAAGTAAGTGTGCAAAATAATCTTGGCTCTAATGTAAAACCAGAGCTCTATTAGATTATATTTTTGTAGAATCAAGAACCAGTTGATGCAAAAAAGACAAAAGACATTGTTGAATTTCAGATTTTAAATTTAGGGAAACATCTTTGAATTGCATCCTCTGTAGGATGCACTTAGTCAGTGTAACAGTTAATACACTGCTTGGTAATATTTTCAGCCAAGCAATGTTCTTACACTTTAATCAGAAAAATTAAATACTCCTTAAAACATAAAAATAGTATGCTTCTTAGTTGTTTCCACAAGCTAAAAATCATAAAACCTCCTACTCTTTTGTTATACAACTATCACCTTCAATGTCTGCTGTGAATGGCTTGATTTGCAATAGATCTTTGGATTAAAAAATACTTACATTGTTTGTCCAAGAGCTGTCTTAATCTAATAATCACATAAATAAAACAGGAACATCCAACGCAAAAACAAAAATTGGAATGAGCCTCAGGATGAAAGGAAAAAGGATGAAAAGCAGCCTTATACAATCAAAAATCTCAATAAAATGAATGCTGTTCAGGAGTCAGATTCTTAATCCTTTAGGAAAGTCCTTCCTGAATAGCATGTCCCAGAAAACATCTGTTTAACATTTTAAGAATTTTACAAAGAGTTGTGATGGCTTGGACCAAAATGCTTCTTTATATAAGACACAGTGTTTGTTTGTTTGTTTGTTTGTTTATTACTAGATATATATCCCACCTTTTTCAAAGAAGTCAAAGCAGTTTCTACCATTCTCCTCCTCCTGCCCTTCATCTTATCCCCACAACAACCACCCTGTGAGGTAGGCTGGACTGAGAGTCTGCGACTGGCCCAAAGTCACCCAGTTGGCTCTGTGGCTGGGCTGGACTTGAACCTGTATCATTTGAGCCCCAGACCTGCACTCTTAACCCCTGTGCCACACTGGCGTATCTGCATCCGTTTCAGATGTAATACTTACACGAGCAAGGCTCATGTACGTTTTGAGTGGAGCAGGGCCATTAACCTTTGTAGACTTTCCTATCAAACAGCAATAGGCATGTACATAACACTTGCGTCCTATTGGT